ATTAATACTAAAGAAGAATTAGAGCAAAGAGTTCGAAATGCCTTTAACGAGTTAGATGGTGAAATGATTCGTAAAGCAACAACTAATCATGTTGAAAAAAGATTGTTAAAATGTTTAGAAGCTAACGGGGGGCATTTTGAACATTTGATAAAATGATTTTTTTAAACCATGTGCTTTTAATAAAAATTGTTTTTAGTTAGTATGTACCTTATCATTAAAAAAATTTAAACTTTTTAAACGACATATTTTGTTGCAGAAAACTGTAAATGTTTTTAAAAGTACATCCCATATTCTACTTCTGGCTAAAATTTCAAGTATCCAACAGAAATAGTACCTGAGACAGTCGACTTTAAGAAAATGCCTACCGGCGCGACGACTAAAAATGAAAAAAAATGAATAACGCCAAATCCGCTATAATTAGAATAGGCAAATATGGTATCATTGTTTACAGAATTTCATGCTGAATCCTAAATTTAAAAAATATATAGGGTGTTCCCTTTAAAATAAAAAAGTTTTATGTTTAAAAAATTTCATTTTTAAAAATAATTTGCAAACAACCCGTACAACAAATAATGAATAACAAAATATTCTCAAGAAGTACATCCCATCTACTACCTCTGGTTAAAATTTTAAGTATCTGATAGATATAGTACCTGAGATAGGCGACTTTAATAAAATGTCTACCGGCGACTAAAAATGTAGAAAAAATTGAATAACGCCAAATCCGCTATTACTAGAATAGGCAAATGGGGTATCGTTGTTTACAGAATTTCATGCTGAATCTAAAATTAAAAAAAAATATGGGGTATTCCCTTTAAAATAACGAAGTTAGTGGTCACTTCCGGTATAACCGGAAGTTGCACAGAGTTCATTTTATTTTAATTCAAAAGAGCATATTCGATTATGTATACTCAGAAAATGGCGAAAATACAAATTAATTTATTCTCCATAAAGTTGTAATGCCCGCCTTACGTGGGACACGGTATATTATTACATTACTGGCCTTCAAAGTAGCATTGATGAATATTTCTCTCATGATAATTAACATATTGAATAACCAACTCATGCCCATTTTGCCGAATTCACACTTTATTTACAAAAAAACTCGGCATACATTAAAAAAATTACATCTTTAACCAATTTTTTTACAAACTTTTGTTTTTCCTCGTATAAATACATTTATTTTAAATACTGGTTAATTTAGATTTTAATTTTAGACAAAGCACCAAATTTTATTAAAAATTCGTCTTAATAAGAAAACGTTAAAAAATGAGTCTCCCTGTATATATAATTTATATTTGTGTAAATTTTAAATAACCATAATAATATAGTTTTGTCTAAATTCAAGACAATTTTAAAATATGGCAACCCGGCGCCGAAGCTTTCGCTACTTTTGCTCCATCGGACATCTATAATTTAGGTCCTGAACTAAAAAGCAACATGGACGCAGTGAAATTATCAATTTTAGATGAAATCGTATTTTGTACAGAACTTAAAAAGTACGCAACATTGATTATTAAAATTTGGCAAGAATATTCAAAAAAATATGTAGAATGCTATAAAGTTTATTTGAACTACATCTGTGACTATCACTTTTTTATATTTTTTAATAGTATTTAATAAATAGCAGGACAAATGAAAATGTCTCATTTCAATCATTAAACATTTTTCTATAAGCTGCCAAAGTTTCACTAAAATTCATCCAGTGAAAAATAAGTTCTGTAAAAAATCGTAAACCTATGTTTTGACCACGTAAAATACACTGAAATGGCGACCTTAAGGGATATGGAAGTTAACAATATGTGGTTTCAACAGGATGGTGCGACATGTCACACCGCTCGAGAAACAACGGTCTTATTGCAGACGAAATTCAGAGGAAGAATCCTATCGCGAAATGGTGATGTTAACTGGCCGCCAAGATCGTGTGACCTAACGCCCCTCGATTTCTTTCTGTGGGGCTATGTTAAAAGTAAGGTTTACGCGAATCATCCAGGAACCATTCCGGATTTAAAACACGAGATTCGGAACATAATTCGAGAAATTCCACCACAAATGTGTAGCGACGTAATCTCAAATTTTGCCAAAAGAGTTGTGTCATGTCACAGAAGCCGTGGCGGCCATTTGACAGATATTGTTTTTCATACTTAATTGTAATAAGTTATGTTAAAGATTACTGTAAGAATATTAAAATTATCTAGTTTATTTTGTATTTTATTTACTACCGAAACCCGGTACCGCTTGTTGAAAAACCCTTTATAAGACCATATTTTTGCAATTTTTAAGGAAAAAAATGTCAAAATTTTTAATATTATTTTTAATTATTTCCGATTATATCAATATATTATTTTAAAATATAAAATCTAGATAGTTACAAAACTATTAATGTTAAAACTATATTAATTCTACAATATTTTCGTTGTCTTAAATTATGTTTAATTAAAATGAATTAACAAATGTCGCTATAAAACGAAATTTCTTTTAAATATTTCGGAACAAAATGTCACGCTTGAATAATTTTTCGTTGGTGAATGATTAAATGATTTTTTAGGACATATTTTTGTTTGAAGTTTTTTGAACATATGTCACATTTGAATGGCCTTTTATCGGAGTGAATTTTTAAATGTTGCTTCAAATTACTTTTACGGTTAAATTTTGTGCAACAAATGTCACAGTTAAATGGTTTTATATTAGTGTGAATTATTAAATGTTTCTGTAAATCAGATTTGTAAATCCATTTTTTGGAACAAATGTTGCACTTCAATGGTTTTTCATTAGTGTGAATTATTAAATGTTTCTGCAAAGCAGATTTGTGATTAAATTCCTTGAAGCAAATGTCACACTTAAATGAATTTTCATTAGTGTGAGTTATCAAATGTCTCTGTAATTCATCGTTTCTTTTAAATTCTTTGGAACAAACGTCACACTTAAATTGTTTTTCGTCAGTGTGAATGAGTAAATGTCGCTTTATATCATTCTTTCTTTTAAATGCTTTGGAACACATATCACATTTAAATGATTTTTGATCAGAGTGAATTTTTAAATGTTCCTTTAAATTACCTTTACGATTAAATTGTATGTAACAAATATCACATTTAAATGGTTTTTCATTACTGTGAATTATTAAATGCCGCTGTAACAGATATTTTTGTTTAAATTTTTTGGAACAAATATCACATTTAAATGGTTTTTCATTATTGTGAATTGTTAAATGACGCTGTAAGCTAGATTTGTGACTAAATTTTTTAGAACAAATGTAGCAGTTAAATCGTTTTTCAATAGCGTGGATTATTAAATGTTGCCGTAATCCATTTTTTGTTTTTAAACCTTTGAAGCAGATGTAACATTCAAATGGTTTTCCATCGTGAACCGCTCTTAAATGTTCCTGTAAACTAAATTTACGTTTAAATTCTTTTGAGCAAACGTCACACTTAAATGGTTTATTATTATTATGAATTATTAAACGTTGATGTGTGCTGGAAATATCGCTGATTTTTAGACATATTTTTCTTGGTCTATTTTTCACTACATGAATAAAATAATGCCGAAAAAAATCAATTTTTGTCATCAATTTTCCGCAAAACTCACAAATTACAAAACCCTTTCCAAAATGTCCTTGGATATGTTTCGATCTTGGGTTAGAAGAAGGGAAATCTGTAAATAAAAAAATAGCTCTGAAAATAAAATATCTAGAATTTAAAAACAAACAGGGTAAGAAAGATAGTCGTTTTTGTTTCTCGCATAATACAAATAATATTTATTAATTATTTTGGACATTTATAAAATACATTAGACAAGTCATTTCATTGCATTCTAGATATAAAATAAAACATGTAGGTATATAAAACTAAAAAGTAACTGAACAAGATTAAAATATCAGAGAGATAAATACTTATTAATACTAGAACTATACAGGGTGTTATTGAAATACACGTACATATTAAAACTGGGTATTGCGCAGATCCCCACTGAATGTAGAAAAATATTATTTTTTAAAAATACCCCTTATTAAGGGAGTTATTAATTTTTGAAAATTAATTCTAAAACAAACGTACTTCACTGATATGTTGAGGATGACCTATATAAATTAGGTTTATTTACCTATTTTAAACATCAACAGTAATTAATATGCAAGTTTTTGTCAGATGATAAGAAAACTAGTCTTGTAAGAAATAACCATGTTGCCAAGATTTTCGAATTAATTTCTATTTCCGAAGACTGGTTTTTACTACCCTCGTTATCAAAAAACTAGAATATTTGATAAATGATTGTTTTTACACTATACATTTTTGAAACTATAGATTATTAAAATTTTAGTTGATTTACGAATCTGGCTAACACGAGCGCGTCATTTCCAAGTTGGTAAAAAGTGTTGTTACGATTACTTTTAAATATTTTTTTACGATGCCACTATTTACGAATATTGAACTAACGGATATAGTGCTGGTTTATGGGGCAGCTGGAGAAAATTCTCGGCAAGCACAAATCCTGTATCGCGAACGGTTTTCAAATCGAAGAATTCCGGACTGTCGTACGTTTATTTCAACTGTTCAGCATCTAAGAGACCATGGAAAATTTGAGAGTGTCAATGCAGATCGAGGGAGAACAAGAACACAAAGAACATTGGCGGCCGAAGAAGAAATATTGGAACCTGTTGAAAACCGGCCTCAATTAAGTTGTAGAAGACTAGGTCTTGAAATTGGTGTCCTCATTTGTTGTGTGGCGGACACTTAAAGAACAAGGTTTACATCCTTATCACATCCAAAAAGTCCAGGCCTTATATCCAGGTGATGAAGAAAAGAGAGTGGAGTTTTATGAATGGATGATTCAAAAATGTGTTGATATTCCTGATTTTCTAAAAATATTATTGTATACTGACGAGGCTTCATTCACTCGTGATGGCGTGTTCAATATGCACAATACGCATATTTGGAGTGATGAAAATCCTCACGCCATTAGGGAAACTGGGCATCAAAGAAAATTTTCAATAAATGTTTGGGCTGGCATAATAGATCAGTATTTAATCGGGCCTTATGTTCTCCCGAACAGATTAAATGGGCCAGGATATCTCCACTTTTTAGAAGATATTTTGCCAGTACTCCTAGAAGAGACACCGTTACAATTAAGGCAACGGATGTGGTACCTACTAGATGGCGCTCCTCCTCACTTTGATTTAAACGTACGGCAGTTTTTGAACATTAGATTTCCTCAAAAGTGGATAGGCAGAAATGGACCTACTAAGTGGCCTCCGAGATCTGCGGACTTAAATCCATGCGATTTCTTTTTGTGGGGTCACATGAAACAACTGGTTTATAATGAACCTATTAATAGTGTTGAACAATTAACCAATAAAGTTAATGCGGTAGCCGAGGAACTACGACAAAATCCAAGACTAATTTCTAATGTTCAAAGTTCTTTGGAAAGACGATTGCAAGTGTGTGTAAATAATAATGGACGGCATTTTGAACAATTATTGTAATAAACTTTATTTTGAATTAATTGGTTTTGCTACGGCAACAGTGCAATTTCTATGGGTAAGTTCAATTTCGATTTATTTTACTTCTTTAAATATGGAAACTAGTAGGTCGGAAAAGGGGACTCTTCCCCAATATTTAAATTTTAGAATTTGAAGTTAAAATTGGTGCCAATCGTTTTTGGTCATTACATACTATTCCCCATTTTAATATGTACGTGTATTTCAATAACACCCTGTATAATACTATAACACCACTCGATAATTGTTCTTTAGTTAGGTTTTCACCTTAGATTAAACAGACCGAAGATGTAACATTGCACACTGCGCATGTTGTCTATTTTAACCCAAAGTAACCCACCAATTGAAAATCATTGTTTGCACGACGCCACCCGAATTGCTCCGATTTTTCCATTCAACGATCACCTCCGCCTGAGTTCAATCACCATTGACAGCTGTTTTTTTATTTATTTGTTGGTATTTTAGCAATTTAAGGTGTTCTAGTTATTCAATTTCAAGTTCAAAATGCCGTTTTAGTATTATTAGTATGAGGTCTGTGTACTGAAAAGTAAACCGTAAGATAAAGGTACATGTACATCTGACATTTATTGCATGAGATTTATGTCTGACAGTTGTTTAGTCCAGTATAAACACACAAAAATTTCTCTCGGACATATATTTTTGAGTGTTTACACTGGACTAAACAACTGTCAGACATAAATATCATGCAATAAATGTCAGATGTAAACGTACCTTTACGTAAGTTTTTTTAACGTTAGTTGTTGTTTTTTTTAATTGTGTAATTTGTAGGTACAAGCATAAATTTAGTAAAATCATGGATATTCGAAAATTTTTAAACATGAAAACCTCGAGTAAAAGTGAGGATAAATCAGATAATGAAAGTCCTCCAAAGAGCAGCCTAAATTTCAAGGGGAGCATTTTTTTGGTTTTACGGAATTAAAAGCAATGGATGCTCACTGAGAGAGATTTGAAGCTAAATTTAAATAAACTTGTTGGTTTGGGATTTGATGGGTGTTCCACGATGGCTGGTAAAGAAAATGGAGTGCAGCAATTAATTAGAAATGAATATCCTAATGCAACCTTTTTTCGTTGTTCCTCCCATAAACTTAATTTAGTCATCAATGACCTAAATTCTGTTCAAGTTGTCCAAAACTCTATAGGCGTCATTGAGGAAACAATAATGTTTTTTAGAGAGAGTCCAAAAAGGCATGCAATGGTTTCCAACTTGCCGTTGTTGTGCGAGACCAGGTGGTCAGCAAAATATAAATCAATAAGGCTTTTCTATGAAAAATTTATTTTTATCACAACGGTGTTACAAAATATGTCAACAGATGTAATGTTTAGTGCCAAAACAAAGTCAAAAGCTCAACAACTGCTTTGCTCAGTATCCTCGTCCCAGTTCATTATGTGTCTTAATATCATTGCTAAGTATTCCTCACTATTGGAACCAGTGGCAAATAAACTGCAAGGGGTTTCTATAGATTTACTTTCTGTAAAATATCATGTTGATACATTAATCACCATGTTTGAAAAGGACCGAACAAATGCAAATTCTGTCTTCTCAAATATATTCAAAAAATGTACAGAAATTGCTAACGAACTAAATATTGATATCAAAACTCCTCAAACAATTCCATGTCAAAATTACAGATCAAATATACAGGGCAAATCACCAGAAGAATATTTTAGGATTTCTATATTCATTCCTTATTTAGATTCAATCATAAGCTCCCTTAAAACTCGTTTTAGCTCTAATAACACATCAGCCTTTTCTCTATCGCGGTTTCGTCCAGCTCTTATTAAAGAAAGAATTAATCTTAGTGAAAGTCAGTTAGATGATAATTCAAAAAAATTCGGGGTTGAAAATTTAAAGGCGTAATATTCCACATGGCAATAAGTGTGGAAGGAAAGGGAGTTCTCGGGAGATATAACCAAACTTCTAAATGAGGAATGTGCTTTTTTTCCCAACATTAAAACTTGTTTAAAATTCTCTGTAATTAGGGGAGAGCGGGGCAAGACGGGGGTAGTGAGGTAAGATGGGGTATCACTAATTGTAGCGAGTGGGGGCAGTCGATCGAACGGAAAACAACAACAAAATGCGCTGTCAAGGTCTGTAAGCACGGGTTGAAAGTTTAGTATGCCGTGGAATTGCGACGAAGCAGTTGTGTAAAGTTATCTCCAAATAATCTGTGATTTCATACGTTACATTTTTATAGTGGTCAAGTTTAAACTATGATAAGTAAGTAGACATTATTTTTACATTTTTTAAATATTTACTGGTGTATGTGGGATGTATTTGCAGTTAGTTACGTATAATTAGTTTTTATTTTTTATAAACCAGAATCGCAGTAATTAGAAATTTTTGCAAAATGGCGCGAATGGGCAAGATGGTTTTGTTTTTGAGGGGCAAAAAGGGGTACTACTTGGTATATAGAAAGTCACCTTTGTTGTTTAAATTGCCAGAGTAAAATTATATTTATAATTATTTTCTTTTTAAGATCATGGTGAGAAAGTATAAACGAAAGTCTGACCGTGGAAATTGGTCTGTTGAAGGGATGGAACATGCCGTTACAGCTGTGTTGAATGAGGAAATGGGATATAAAAGGGCAGCTGAATCGTACGGTGTGCCTCAATCAACTTTGGAGAGAAAAGTTAAAATAGCTAGAGAAAATCCAGATATTGGAACTGAGCAACTTAAAAAGCCAGTTTTTAGTTCAGAAGAGGAAAATTTGCAAAATTTCTCTTAAAAATGGAGGAGAGATTTTTTGACCTTACTCCTTACGACCTACGAGTATTAGCTTTCCAGTGGGCTGAAAGGCTCAATAAAGCCCATGTATTCGCAACTGAAAAACGAACTGCAGGGAAAGATTGGCTCTCAGGTTTTATGCGTTGCAATCCTAGGATATCTCTAAGAAAACCTGAGGCTACCAGTGCTGCAAGAGCAGCAGGATTTAATCCTACAGTTGTTAACAATTTTTTTGATCTTCTAACTCGATTAGTAGATAAATATAAATTAACTCCAGAAAGAATATACAACTGCGATGAAACTGGCGTATCAGTTGTTCCCAAAACTAAGTCAAAAATTATTTCGTTAAAAGGAAGAAAGCAAGTTGGAGCACTGACTTCTGCTGAGAGAGGTAAAATTATCACAATTGAGATATGTTTTAACGCTGCAGGTACCTACATGCCACCAATGTTTATTTTCCCACGTTCTAAAATGAATCCAGAGTTATTGAATGGCTGTTCTCCTGGTGCATGGGCTGAGACTCACCCAAGTGGATGGATGCAAAAAGAGATATTTTTTGCATGGTTTAAAAAGTTCGTTCAATTTAGCAAAGCTTCAAAAACGTCACCTGTACTTCTGCTACTAGATGGCCACTCCACTCATACAAAAAATATAGAGTTGATCAACTACGCACGAGAAAATGGTGTCATTTTATTATGTTTCCCTCCACATTGTTCACATCGTTTGTAGCCACTGGACGTTTCATTTATGCGGCCTGTGAGTGTTTTCTATGATACAGAAATATCTCAGTGGCTGAGAACAAACCCAGGACGGGTTGTTTCGCAGTATCAAATTGCAAGCTTGTTCGGAAATGCTTTCTTGCGAGCAGCTACAATGCTTACGGCAATTAATGGATTTCGTCCGACTGGAGTATGGCCACTTAATAGAAATGTCTTTGGAGAAGCAGATTTCGCTCCATCACAGACCACAGAAATTGTTCTTTCTAATAACTCCATACCTGATAGTCAAATGAATACGTCTGAACTTTCCACGAATTTGTCGAATCCGGTTATTCCTCCGCGCCCTTCTACACCTACAGATCAACCAATAGTTAGTTCTGATGCCCCAAGTATCCAGGCTTCCTGTTCGTCTAATTCCACTTTTAAAATAGACTTTCAAGATTTAACTAAGCCTGCTACTTCCTTCGAATTTATAACTCCAAAACAAACTAATCTTTCGCATTTACCATGCACACCGGAAGATATTATGCCGGTTCCTTCCTGCAAGCAAACGACTCTTAGGGTTACCCGAAAAAAAGGCAAGACCGCTGTTTTAACGGAATCACCGTATAAACAGGAACTAGAAAAGGAAATTGCTGAGAGACAAAATAAAGAGCTACAGAAGAAAGAAAATGTTAAGAGAAAATTAGAAAACAAAAATAATGCGAAAGGCAAGAAAATACAAAAAAAAAACAATTGGTTCTAAAGAAAATTTTAAACCGAAAAAGACTGGGATCAAAAAAAGGCCATCAACAGAGGCTAATGGCCGTAGTAGTCGACGCCGATGACACCAAATTAAAAAAAAAAAAAAAAAAAAAAAACATCATCAGTATCATCCTCTGAATATTCTGATGCAGAGTGTTTGTACTGTGGCCATCTTTACTCTGAATCGACCGAAGGGTGGATCCTTTGTATCAGATGTCACAGATGGGCCCATTGTTCCTGTGCGGGCGAAGAGGATGAGGATGATGAAGTGACCCATATTTGTTCCCTATGTGAATAGATACCATCTTGCCCCGCATCATTTCCCATCTTACCCCACATGTGGGGCAAGATGAAGTTTTTGACATGCCCCTGTTTCAACTTTTTTTACTCTTTCATTTTTTATTGTATGTTTTTTTAATTTTAATACATAATAAACAAATATATAACAATGTGTTTCCAAATTTTGTAAATTTATTGAACTTATCCTGTATGAAATATTATCAATCAAACCTTAAATACCCCGTCTTGCCCCGCTCTCCCCTATGCCCCCTTCAATATAACGGTCATTCAGTACTCTTAGGAGAGTCAAGACTAGGCTTAGATCAACAATGAGTGAAAACCGCCTTTTTGGACTGGCTCTTATAAGTGTTTATAGGAAATACGTTGACAACAATAAACTTGAAATAATTAATAAAGTCATTGATTTATTTGACCCAGAAAGAAAAATTTAAAATTTCTTTTTAGCGACTAGATTATGACTGCCCTTTTGCCTTACATATATATTTTGCATTGGCTTTTATTTTGGTAAAAAAAAAAGACTGATTCATTTCTATTTTTATTTTTAATGTGAATATTGCTAGAGTTATTGGATATGTAAGATTATTTAAGTTTCATTTAACCGGAAGTTTTGAATTTTTCCAGGAATAGGTTTATATAATATATGTTTCCATTTCAACCGCCAAATTTGCGCTTGCGTTTTTTGCTTATTCAACATGTTTTGGATGTCTTTGGTTATTGTACGTTTTTTTTAAAGAAAATATACTTTTTTAAATATATTCTTTTACTTATAAACTATCCTACTTAACCTACTAATTTATATCCTTTTTGTAAAAGAATCTTTATTTCAATTTATTGTAACTCTTTTATTTAAAAAAAACTGCCCCTCCCTGAATTTTTTACTGGCGGCGCCCATGAACGCATCATTTCTATTTTGATCTATGTAATGTTCATATTAATACTAAAATCGATATGATTGTTGAATTATTGAAATTGTTGTAAATTAGATCCTAGATATTTATCTTTAACAATTTTTAAAATAACTAAGTTATGTTTGCTTTTTATTCTGGTTAAACACATAACCGATTAGATCATTCAATTGACTCAAGGCCTATTAACTCAGGTGGTAGAGTAACAAACTTTGCCATTTGAGATCTGGCTAGTGACAGCGTTCAAATCCTTGCGGGTGGGGGCAGAATTTTTTTTTTTTTGTATTTTTTATTTTTTTTTTGTTTTTTAGTTTTTGTTTGTTTAGAAAATATGAAAATTGAATAAATACAATTATTATTGATTGTTTTTTTAAATTCATTTTATTTATTATAATATATATATATATATATATATATATATATATATATATATTTAGATATATATTTTTAGATATATATTTTATTCAATTTTCGAAATGATCTTTATTAATAAAGCATTAATAAATGTATTCAAAAGTAACCTCAAACAATATTTGATAAATAAACAGAACGAAGACAATTTATTGTGCCAATCTTCTTAAATAATAATAATAATAAATTTAATGACAGGATTAATTACAGTAATAACATGATTAATTACAACAATAAACAAATTATAAATTAATCATAGGTAAATAAGTTAGCACCTTGGTGCAGGGCTGCCGCGGAGATATTTAGAAATGTACTAGAAAATTCGAGGAAAATGTACTAAATTGTACTAAATTTTAGATGGACTGTCAATTGTCAAAACTGTCACGTATGTTGACAGTTGTTATGTCAAATGTCAACTGTAGGATGAATGGGAGTTTTGTTTTTGTTGCTTATGTACTTTGAAAAATTGGAATATATCACTGGAATATATCAAAACGTTAATATAAATATAGAGTTTTCTTTTAAATTTTATTATTTTAATCAAGTTTTAAGGCAAGTTTTATCTGCTAATCAAGGTAGGTAAAAATAAATTGTACGATCACAAACTAGTAACTGACATCAGAATTTTGTGCAGTGGATAATTTGCGCAGAATCCTGGAGTCGGTGACAGGTTTCTGATCGTTATAGGTATATACCTTATGTAAAAACCCTTTTCTTTAGGGAAAATACCGCCAATATTTACAATACTTACCCTATTATCGGAAAATTTAGGCTTTCAATACATAGATGGTGCCACAAAGACGAGTATTTCAAATTATACTAAATTGTCCCTGATTTGACTTAAAATGTACTTTTGTACTTTGATGTGAGAAATGTACTAAATTTAGTACAATTGTACTGAAACGGCAGCCCTGCCTAGATGTGGGCACCTGTATGTGCTAGACAGACTAAAAAACTAATACATAAAGATTAAAAACTAAAATATAAAGTTAATGTATTTTTATATAAATGTTAAATGTAATAACGCAGCAATGTTATATTATACAATATGTAATAATGTTATAATCTTGTAATCTACAGGGTTCCAACATATTACAGTGAGATGTGTGTTATTCTAAGAAGAATCTATACAATTTTGAGTAGTTTTGGTAGATGAAGGATTTGCACGCTTTTTTAAATAAATGTTGTTTGTTAATGAATTTAATCTCAGGAGGTAAAGCATTGTAACACTTTGGTCCTAAGTAATTTATACAATTTTTGAAAGATTCACTATTAGGCATAGATATTTTAATATTCAAGTTACTAAAAGTTCTGGTTTTGTGTTGATGACCCAGAGGTTTTTTTAGTACCTCATGTTTTTGTATGTAACAGCATATTGTGTTGATGTATGAACTTCTAACATTAGATATTGTTTCATTATATAGTAGAATAGTAGGATATAATCGCTGTTTGTTGAAAATAATTTTCAGTATTTCAGTATTATATAAACCTCGTTTTACATTTCCGCATCAGCTGTCACATAATGTCAAACGCATCATTTCTATTTTGATTTATGTAATGTCCATATTAACAGTAAAATCGATATGATGATTAAATTATTAAAATTGACGATTAACTTAGATCCTAGATATTTATTTTTAACAATTATTAAAATAATTTTAAAATAACTACATACATCTCATTATTTTGGCTTTTTATTCTGTTTAAACTTAAAATCGAATTAAAAATAAATTTGACATAAGCCCCATTAGCTAAGGTTGTAGGGTAGTTGCAATTTGAACTTTGGCTTACACGACGGGTCTGCGAGCCCGCGTTGAAAACTTGGTGATTGCAGATTTTTTTTGTTTATTTTTGTTTCGAAAAATATGAAAGTTGAATAAAAACAATT